CTTAAATGTGAAAATCTATGAAAAATGATAAGTTTTGATTGTAAAATGAAAAAATTTAACTTCGGTCAATGTTTTGGATAAAACGGATCCGGACCCGTGATTTGACGGTCCTGGAGGGTCCGTAGAAAATATGAGACTTGGGCGTATGCCCGAAATTGGATTCCGAGGTCCCAAGCCCGAGAAACAAATTTTTTAAAGAAAATATTTTCTAAAATTGTTTAAAGGAATTTGAAATGAAATTTGCTTAGAACATGGTGGTATCGGGCCTGTATTTTGGTTTCGGCACCCGGTACAGGTCTTATATATAATTTAAGACATTTCTATGGAATTTGGTGAAAAACGGATGTCATATAACGTGATTCGGACTTAAATTGCAAAATTGTTGTTTAAAGAAGTTTTGAGAAAATTTTATTGATCTCGAGATTTAATTTGATGTTCATGATGTTATTTTGATGATTTGATTACACGAATAAGTTCTTAGGATGTTTTTGAGGTTTTGTGTGTGCTTGGTTTGGAGTTCCGAGGGCTCGGGTGAGTTTCGGGTAGGTTCCGGGATGTCTTAGGCTTAAAAAACTGAGCTGTTGCAGGCTCAGAGAGGTGGAGGACCTCATAACAGGCTAGTGCGGTCCGCACGATATGGACTGCTGCCGTGGAGAGGCCTGTGCGGCCGCACTAGTTTTGGGCGGTCGCGATGAAGAACAATTCACTGGTCCGACTTCGAAAGCCTATATCTTTTAATTTACAAGGAATTTTGAGATGATTCAAAAACGAAAGTTGTAGCCCTTCGTGTCTAGTTTCCAGAAAGGTAAATAAATCACAATTTGGACATCTGCAGAGAAAGTCATGGCCAAAATACGAAGACCTGTCACTGCAGAACACATGAAGTCTGTGTGGCTGCAGTTGATTTTGTGCGGTCCGCACATGGCATCTGAGGGCAGTATATTTAGACGGAATTTTTAATTATTTTTCATTTTTAAGACCCCAAAAACATAAGAGGTGATTTTTCAAACAACCTTTCATCTCCAAATCAATTGTAAGTCGTTTTTAACTAGTTTTCTTCAATCATTAACAACTTTTAACATGATTTCAACTTCAAATCAATGATTTTCATGGGAAAAATTTGGTGTTTTGGTAGAACCTAAGTTTTTCAAAATTTGGGGATTTGGATCTCGATTTGAGGTCCGATTTCAAAATAAATTACATATTTGAGCTCGTGGGGGAATGGGTAATCGGGTTTTGGTTCGAACCTCGGGTTTTGACCATGTGGGCCCGGGGGCGATTTTGACTTTTTAGGTAAAACTTTGGAAAATGCATTTTCATGCATTCAAATTGATTCATTTAGCATTTATTGATGTAATTAAGTAACTTGTGGCTAGATACAAGTGAATTAGCGGAGGAATCAAGGGGTAAAGCTATAATTGAAACTTGAGTTGTGTTCGAGGCATCGAGGTAAGTGTTCGGTCTAACCTTAGCTTGAGGGATTAGGAGTTGAGTCCTATTTGTTAATTGCTTCTTATTGAGTACGACATATAGGCATGGTGACATGTATCTATATGTTGGAGTCGAGCATGACCGTGAGTCTTAAATTGATAGTTGTTATGTTCTTAAATGTTACTACGGATGATTTAATTGATGATTATCGATATTGAGCAAAGATTTAGTTTATTCTTGTGGATTTTATTTATGATTGAGTATTGGTATTAATTGAGTTGAGTAGAAGTTGAGTTAGGATTGGTTATAGCTGATTCTCCCTTGCCGGGATGATTGTTTCGATATTGTTGCTCCCTTGCCGGAAAGTTATTATATTGCTTTTGTTCCCTTGTCGGGATTCCTTATGATTTTGTGATGGCTTATAAATGGGAGCGGGTGGTACGCCTACCACGAGATTTAATGAAATAGGAGCAGGTGGTACGCCTACCACAAGATATGATGAAATGGGAGCGGGTGGCACGCCTACCACAAGATATGATGAAATGGGAGTGGGTAGTACGCCTACCACGAGGTTTGATGAAATGGGAGCAGGTGATACACCTACCATGAGATTTAATAAAATGGGAGCGGGTGGTACCACAAGATATGAGAAATGGGATCGGGTTGCACACCTGTAACAATATATGAGAAATGGGATCGGGTTGCACGCCTGCAACAAGATGTAAACTGAAAGTGAAATTTGCCTTTATTTTCCTTATCCTTGTTAGAAGTTAAATTCTGGTTTCCTTATAATTTTATTGACTGCCTTATCTGTTATTCCCCGAAGCATGTTTCCCCTCTCCAGTTTTAATTGTTTGTTTCCGTCTATCTTTCCGCTGTATATATATACATAATTGCACAGGTTTATCTGGAGTTCGGTCCTAACCTCGTCACTACCTCGCCGGGGTTAGGCCAGACACTTACCAGCACATGGGGTCGGTTTTGCTGATGCTACACTCTGCACATATGTGCAGATACAAGAGCAACGCTTAGTCAGCAGCGGTAGGGGAGCCAGCCTTCAGTCCATCGAGACACCGAGGTAGCCCTGTAGGCATCCGCAGGCCTGTCGTCTCTTCTATCCATTTAGATGTTCCGTTTTCTTTTGTATCCGAGACAGACTATATTTACTTTTTCTGACACTTGTATGTAGCATTCCTAGGCAGTCCGTGAATGTTGTGACACCAGTTTTTGGGTAGAGGTATATGTTGGATTTTTATTCGTATCGATTTTGGTATAATATTTATTTAAGTCTTCCACTTAAATTTCATCTTTCGTCATTATTTAAATGATGATTACCTGCTAATTTAATTGGTTAAAAAGGCTAAAATGAAAGAGGTTGAATTTTTCGCATTTCGTGGCTTGCCTAGCTTCTATGAGTAGGCGCCATCATGACTCCCGAGGGTGGAAAATCCGTGTTGTGACAACGTATAGTGCTCGTGTTGTTGGTGATGATGATGATGATGATGATGATGATGATGATGAGCACCTTACAAATCAGGATTGGACTAATGTTAAAATGCTTGTAGACTTTTTAGAACAATTTCATGTTGCTACAAATGAATTATCTGGGCAATATTATCCTAGTATTTCTAACTGTTTAGTTTATATTGCAGCACTTGCAGATTTTGTTACTCAATTTTCAGAGGGTGAGGTAATTTATCAACTTGCTATTGATTCTATGAAGGCTAAGTTTAAAAAATATTTTTTCCCTATTCCCCCTATTTTTAGTGTTGCTGCCATGTTAAATCCTACCATGAAATTAGGAGGTCCTCACTTTTGGTACACAAAAATTTATAAGGCTTAATCACTTTCAGATGAGGAATTTGCTACACTTGGAGATGCAAAAACCTCAATTAAAATAAATGCTCAAACAATTTATAATGCTTATCAACTTGCCTTAGATAATGCTAGACCAAATGTTCCAACTCCTACTTCGTCTAGTTCGCAATCATCTAAAAGAACTGCGAGCCTAAAATCACTTAGTTCTTGGACGGAGTTCAGGGGTTCTCAAGGTGATAATATTGGTGATAGTTCACAACTAAATGAGCTTCAAGTTTATTTGTCGCATGGACTTGAATCAGAGAATCGCGACGGCTCCTTTGATTTTTTGGAATGGTGGAAGGACAAACAAAAACACTATCCGGTTCTTTCAAGGATCGCTCGAGATATTTTAAGTGTTCAAGCTTCAATAGTGGCATCGGAGAGCGCTTTCAGTCAAGCGAGACTTCAAGTCGGTGATCATAGAGCGTCTATGAGGGAGAGCTTGGAAAAATCAGTACTCATCAGAGATTGGATCCGTTCGGAAAGAAGAAATTTTGGACTTGCAGAATCACAACCGGAGATAGACGAAGCTTATGAAGAAATGCTAGCGGAACTTGCGCAGGATGCTGCTTCGCCCGGAAGTGGTGATGAACAAGCTTCTTTTCTGCCACCACCAACGGAAATTCCTCCGGACCTTGAAGGATTTATGAAATTTGTTAGAGATAATACATAGACTAATATGTAACTTTTATTTTGTCACATCTTCCTTAGTTTTTTTCCTTTTAATAGTGGTATTAATACCATGTTGTGCTCATTCCACTGGGGGGAGGAAGACTAAGAAAGATATTGCCATTTTTTGTTAATGTCATAATAATAAAAATTATAAGACATTCCCTTGAATATTTCTTTGCAATTTATTTTGTGTTTAAATTTGATATAGTATATATATTATGGATATAGATATAGATATAGTATATATAATATATATAAGCTATATATTATATAAGGCAATATATATACATACTATACATGCTATATATATATAGTTTACAAGAAATTGCCTTAGATAAAAAAAATAGCACGGAACACTTAGGCCCGTTTAGGCCCGTGGGCCCGACCCATTTAGCCGGGACCATGTGGGCTTAGGCCCACAGTGAGCCGGTTCCACCCATCAGGACAGTTTGGCCCGGGACTGCCAAAGACCGGCCCGCCAAAGCTCGGAACCGTCAGACTCGGCCCGTTTAGCCCATTTAGGCCCGGGCCCGGCCCAGAATATAGCCTTAAGTAGAAGTAGGTTTAATTTGAAGTTTATTAAAACTGGCTAAACTTTTAATAATTTGTAAACGTTTATTATTTGCAATATTTGACTATAGGTAAAGAATTTTAAAAATAAAAGTGATTCATGATATAAAAAATAACTTTCTAACTTGTGGTCTTAAATATATATGACATTTTTATGCCTAAAATAATGCCATTTAAGGTAAACTAAAATGTTTAAAGTTAAAAAGTTACAGATATAAAAATGTGTTATTCTTTTGGAAGTAACTAAAAAGAAATAATATCATATAAAATAAATTAAACTTAAAGTATTAGATATTAGAAATATTTTTCATGTTTTATGTGAATGTAACTTATATACTAATTACTTAAAAAATGTACGTATTTTTTGTTAGACTTCGTTTCATTGCATTATAAAATAAAATAAAACGAATAAAGTAATACTAGTACTAGTGTTATTTCAAGAAAATAGAAAGCATAGAGGAGAGGGGCGTGTGGCTCACCTGTAAGACAAAGCTATCTGCCACTAGATTGTTATCCTCTCCGCATAACTACTTAGTTGACACGAGCTCAAGTTAGAGGAGGCACGCAGAGACCACATCCAATAAACCACTACTCCTTAATTTCCATTCTGCTAACTGGAAATTTGACGTACCAAATAATCATGTCTGCATCCGCTGTGGTTGCTGGTGCCTCGGCCTCTTCCTGCTCTGCTGCTTACTCAAGAAACCTCGGCATCACAAAATCTAATGCTTCTATTCCATCCCCCAAATCATCCACCTCTCCAATATGCCAGGTATTCAATCCATATATGTTCAAGTGTTTGATCATCATTTGGAAGGCACACTTTTAATTATCTAATTAAGTAATATCGTAATACGGGTTCGAACCGTGTAATCAGCAATAAAGTCACTGACCCTAAACAGCCACACCTCCTTGAGGTGCGACAATTACTAGAATCCTGCATGAATGCGGGATGTTACTTGCACTACCCTATTTTTTTTATGCGGGCTTGATTTTTTTTTTTCATGGCCAAACACGTAAAATTATGTTTTGATTTTCACTGGTGTATTCTGAATTGTTGATCTTTTGGTTTCCTTCTTGTGACAAAATGTTCCCTCTTTGAACTGGACAGAGAACTAGTTTTCAAGGTTTATCACTGCAAGAAGCCAAAAGGGGTGTTTCGAATTCGTTTCTAGCTGAGAGTAAGAGGAATTCCACTAGCATTGGTGGAAGAAGTAGAACCCTTGAGATCACTGCAAGATCAACTGCTGCAAAGAATATCGAAGTTGAAGTTGATAAGCCATTGGGGCTCACCCTTGGTCCTAAGAATGGTGGTGGAGTTGTAATTACGGTCAGTTACTTTATATCACTGCAATTTTACACGGGGTAACAGGTCATTTGCCATGTTTTACGAGTTATCAATCGATAGTAAAGTTACCTGTAATTGGCTATTAAGTTACCTGATAGTGTAAATTTATTAATATANCACGAGTAGCTTCTTCGGCGACGAACTCTGGCCAGCTGATAAGCTTGGATTTACCAAAACTGCCATCCAGGCGAAGCCTGACTCTGTCTACTTCGTCGTTAGCAGGTTAGCTTCTCGTTGGCCTTATATTTCTGGTTTAAGTTTAACTTCTATAGTGACAGTGTAAAGACTTTTTACATTATCAGTTCACCTAAAGGATAATTACAAGTGGAAGTAGTAACCTGCTACAACAAGTTAAAATACACAGATAGTGTAGTTTGGTTAAGTCCTTTTGGTTTTGCTGCTATAGTAGAGGAACATGGGAGGAAAGTATGCTTGATTAGTGCAGCTTGTATATGAAATTGTAGTTTTGAATTTGTCAATATTAATGAAGATTGGCTAGTATTTTTACAAGCATAACAATCTTAATCCTAGAATTTTATGAATGATTTTTTGGATTAACTTAAAAAGAATACTTAATAAAAGCAACTCAATGCATAGGGATGAGGTTATCTGAGCCAATATATCAGTCAAAGGCTTTGCATAAACGATGACAAGTTAACTTGGATTCTTGAAAATGCTATGATTTTTATTGACTTGAGCTGTTGCTACTAGTCTTTTCCACATAAAAACACTAATATGTATGTTGTTTGTGATTGGCTTTTAAGAATTGCTTTACCATCTTGTATAATGGGTTAAAATCTGTATTAACAATGCGCAAGAAGTCTGCATAAGTTTTCTGTCATTGTAGTCATTATTTGCTCTTTCATTCATTCCTTTGGTTAACTTTGAGTGTGAAAATATAGAGCATGATTGAAAAGTTGAGTGACATCCTAGTTCATGTTGATCTTGCCCTCCAATGACCCGAAATATTACAAAATTATAGCCATGACAGAATATTTGATGGCACGTGTGTAAATATTGACAGAGGCGGATACAGAATTAAAATTCTATGGGTTCAAACCAATTATATTTTTAAAGTTATGTGTTAATATCTACTACATGTCATAATTTTAGTAATTTTTTACACATAAATTTATACTCCACACTGAAAGTACTGGTTCAGTTGAACTCGATACCAAAGGGCTGGATCCGCCCCTGAATATTGACATCTTTATAACAAAAGATGTGAAAACTAACATATTTCAATGTATTGAATATCTTTGGTTGATATTTTGATGCAGAGGTGTCGATGTAGATGTTAAAAGACTGCCCAAACGTCCAGCTCCTCCTCAATTTGGAAGGAAACTAACTGATGCTCAAAAGGCTAGTATCTATCTGTGCATTATTAGAAATGATCACTATTAATTTGTATTTGCTTCATGTTAATCCTTTATATTTGTTTCTTTGCCTAATCATCTATACTTCACTGTCCTCAGGCCAGAGCAACACACATTTGCCTAGACTGTGGTTACATATACACTTTGCCAAAGTCTTTCGATGACCAGGCAAGATTCTGCACTTCTCTTTTAAGTCTATGATATCTTTTTTTCCGGCTTCAAAAACTGTTAGACGATTCCAGAGCTTAGGTTAAGCAGTTGAGATTCTAGGCCCAACCGTTAAAAGTCTCTTCTTCTCCTTCTGATTATCCCGTAGCCAAGTCTATGATTCTCTCATAACCTGTTGGCTTGCGTAGCAGTAACTCTGTGCAGACAAACAAAAGTCTATGACCACTTCCGAATATGAAAATAAAAATTATTGAGAAAGGAGAAAGTAACAATAAATTAGGAAGTGGGGACTAATGCTTGCAACAAAATGATTCGGGAATGAATGGATCAGAGATTCCTCTTCCAACTCGTCCCAGAATGGGCGCTATGGCAACAAGAACAAAACACTGGAGAAATTTGTCCAATAGTAACAAAGGCTTCCACTACTTCAGCCTTAACTACAATTACATTATGGCGATCCCCATTGTTACCTACCTATAGAGTAAAATTAAAGAAGTACCGGTGACAACGACTTTCTAGGTTACAATGTGATCTGAACATTTAACTTCGCTGCATTCAGGGAAGGAGAGTTTTTGACAATATACACACCAAATGAGATATTTGATTTGTTCTGTTTTCACGTGCAGCCGGAGGACTATGCATGTCCACAATGTAGAGCACCAAAGAAGAGGTTTGCAAAATATGATGTTAACACTGGGAGAGCAATAGGAGGAGGATTGCCTCCTATTGGTGTCATTATTGGTCTCATTGCTGGTATTGGTGGTGTTGGAGCATTACTTGTTTATGGTCTTCAATAAATGATCTTCTCTTAGTACAAAAAATTTCCTCTGATCTATACCTTAAAAAGTGTTAAAAACCATTGTTTATGCTCAGAAATACACATTCCAAAGACTAATAACCACATTCCAGACTTCAACATGTTACCTTGTTGTTTTCCAGTTTTCAGTTTATCAAGTCATGCTTACTGAAAAGCTCTTCTATAGTTTATTTTTCAAATCACATGATCTGTTAGTACGGAGTTGTAGATAAGAATGGCAAACGGGCCGAGCCCGGGCTTAAACGGGCCTTCGGGCTGGGCTTAAACGGTCCCTAGCTGTGTGGGCCGGGCCCGTTCCTAAACGGACATAAGTGGGCTTGGACTATTTTTTTAAAATTTTTTTATCTAAGGCAATTTGTTGTAAATTATATAGCTTATATAT